TCTCTACTTCCCTACCTACCCAATTTTAGATTCTCTTTCCTTATCTCTTCCTCTATTTTTTTAAAACCTCCCAAGAATGAAAATTTAAAAAATAAGGAAAAATCCAAAAAAATCAAAAACCAAAACAAAATGTCAGAACATAACAAAATAAAACAGTAAGTCCACAATCCCCCTGCCCCCAACCCAAACAAAACAAGTTCTTTTTGTATTGGCCAACGACTCACTCTTAGCAAAGAAACACACGCACAAGAAAAAAGCCAGTACAAGCACGGAGTCCACCTGTGTTGGCTACCACCACCTGAACAGGGGCCTTGAGTTGGAATGCAGTTCATACATCGAGTGCCGCTCTGAAGAAAACTGATTTCCTCTCTCCCCGGAGCTTTTCAGACAGCTTCTGGGCTGGTGGTGGGACCCTGGCCACTTTTCTTTGTGCAGCCACGTTGTGTGGCTGAACGTACGCGGGTCTTAGCAGGCTGCCAGACCTCGGTGAGTTTGGATGTGGGTCTGCCCTGTTGTGTATGGAAAACGCTGGGGTTTTTTTTGTTTGTTTTGTTTTTTAGATTGAAGCAGAGGGTGGTTCCAGAGGAGTTTGTACCGTGGAGGCTCTGCTTTAGAAAAGGGGCGGTGCTCTCCGTGACTGTTACTCTGAGAGTGGGTTAGTGTAAAGTGCTCGGGCTCCTGTTTCCAAAAGTACTCATGTGTACCTTCTGTCCCCCCACCCCCACATACACATTGTATTATAAGATGGAAGAACCCCACCAGATGTGGCACCTGATCTTGGGCTTCCCAAATAAACTTATTCTTTATCTATTACCCCGTCTCAAACATTATTTTTTCTATAAGAATAGACAATGGATTAAGACATCAGTGCTTTTTAGGAGGAGGCACAAATCCTCAGTGTCTCCTACAGTGGTCAGTGCAGTGCAGCCTTCTATAGCCAGATTCCTGGCCTAATCTTTTTTTTTTTTTTTTTGCATTCATCACTTGGGATGTCTTTCACTTATCCAGGACCACCAACCTCTTCCCACATTCGAGTTTTGACACTGAATTTTCTGTATTTCTGGAATGCCTTTTGTCCACATACTGTCATTGGCTAAGGGCTAAGTTGTTTGTCAGCTCCAATGCTCTTTCCTTAGAGAAGAAGTTTTTCTTGACTCTACATTTAGATCATTCATAACTGTGTGTGTCTTCTTGCTTTTAATTGCTCTCTCTTAACTGGAAAGCTCTATTATGACAGCTTCTCACTATTGTATCCCCTGGTACTCAGCACAAGGTCTGCTATCTGCCAATGACTCTGTGGATACATGTGAGAATGACATTCAGACCCGATGACCCCAGACAACATGCACAGTATTCCTCCTGCCCTCCCACACAGAAGCCCAAGTGCCAAGATCATTAAACAAAAAGGCACAAGTTCTTTTAGTTTGAAAACTAAAGTGTGGGAATGAAATTCTGAGCCCACATGGCAAATTTTGTCACTGCCCAAAGTGGGTTATGACTTAAAATTGTTGATAGTCAAACAGTTAGGAAGCAATTCCTTGGCTTTCTTCAAGAGTGTAAATCTGTAGAGAAGATTACACTAGGATTTGTTAGACTTTCAATATATATTGATCCAATATATATTGATATATTGATATTCATTTTATAGTTCAGGCTAGCCTGGAACTCACTAGGTAGCCCAGGTTGGTCTTGCTGTATCATCCCCTACTTCAGTTTCCCAAGTGCTGGAATTATGGGTGTGAGCTACCATACCGGGCAAAATTTACTGTTTAACATAATTATAAATTGTATTTCAAAAGCTTCCTTATATACTACTTTGGATGGTGTGTGGGAGAGTGAAATGTCTGGCCTTCAGTTTTCATCTTGATAAGAATTGTAGCACAATTTAAAAAGTCAATTGCAATCCCATTCAAGAGGTTGAGATAGGAGGATCATGAGTTTAAAAGTAGCCTGACCTAGATAGTAGGTTCAGGGCCAGAGTAGGGCTATATAGTACGACTGTACCTCAAAAAAAAAAAAAAAGCGCCTTTTCTTAGGCTTGTTTCTATTTTATGTGCATGAGTGTTTTGCCTGCATTTGTATGCACCACATGCTTACCCACAGAGGCCAGAATAGGATGTCAGATTTTCTGGAACTGGGGTTACAGATGGTCATGGGCTGCCATGTGGGTGCTGGGAATTGAACCTGGGTCCTTTGCAACAGCAACAAGTGCCCCTTACCTCTGAGCCATCTCTCCAGCCCATATCTTTTGTTGAAAGGGTTGGGAGAGAACTCAATATTCCTTAGGGTCCTGGTTAATAAATTAAGCCTTTGTTTATTAGTCTAGTCTCAATGTAGAAAATGCTAGCTAACAGAAAATTCATTTGTTAAACACCTATTGACATTTCACTAAACAGACTTACAAAAGAATTGGACAGGTACAGAGTCTAGGGAGTCTTGAGAGAGCAATTCACACCATGCCTTTCCATCCGTTCTATTCTCTGGGGCTTTGCCTGCACAGTGGTCGCCTGTCTGCATTGCCGAGGTCATTAGAATTTTGGTTATTGCCAAAATGCCTGCTCTGACAGTCTACCAAGGCAGCATGGGGAAACTTATCTTGGCAATGTGAAAATCTCCATTTTAAGAAGCATTTCCAAAACCAAACATCTCACCTCCCGGATACAAAGACCCTATTATATTATTTTCTTTTTCTTGGGGTTCTGTTTGATTAGGGTGAGATCCACTCTAGCCCTAAGCCCTTCGACTGTAAATTCTCTCCCAGCCTCCCATACACTAACATCAATTAATATAGTGACTCTCCCAAATGCCAAGGTATCCCCAAGGTATGCAAGGAAAGGAAACACATTCTCCATTCATTTCTTTCTTCATTCATGTGATTCATTTAGTACAGATTTCCTGAGGACCTGCTCTGCACCAGGCACTGTTGTAATCTCTGAGGATACAGCAGTGAAAAAAAAATCCAGAAAAAGCCCCTGATCTTACTAACTTATTAAATGGGAATGGGAGATGAGAGCAGCACAGACCTTGCCATGCTGGAGGGATAAATGTTAGACAAATCCATTGTTTTTAGACAACGGTGATTTACTACATGTTAGGAAATGTGATGGGATTTGTTTTTAGAATAGCAGTCCAAATTTAGAAAACTGTGATCTGAGAATTTGTAAAGCATTTTTCATACATGATTAGAAGTATTACTAACTAATGACTCTCAACACATTGCTTGTCTAAGTCCAATCAAATATTTTCTTTTTTTTTATTCATTGATTTATTCACTTTATAGCCTGATTGCAGCCCCCTCCCTCCTCTTCCTAACACCTCTTCCTCTTCCCTCTTCTTCATCTCCTTCTTCTTATAGAAGGAGAGGCCCCCATACCCTGGACAATTAAATATTTTCAGTATGCCTGTTCAGTGGCCTTTTCCATGGCTTCTTGAGAGACCCTCTGAGGAAAGGGCACACTTTATAGAGTGCCTGGCACACAGAAAGAAGTACTTGACATTTTGGTTGTGAGCCTAGCCTTTAATGGTGGAGCCATGTCCTTAACCCAAGAGAAGTGCTTAATTAAGGTGCTTATTGAAATAAAATGTTGTATTCATATTAGTAACAAAAGGTGGTTTGCAAACTGGCAAGAAAAATGGATACCTTCTGTTGTTTGAGGATTGTGTGACCTTTTAAGAAAATACAGATACTTCTAGGTTTCTCCTCTTTTTTAGTTATGCACAACATTTAATTACTTAACTTTAGAATGCTTAACTCTAGAATAAAGTTTGAATTTACAGATATTTACTTATTGGTGTTTCAAAGATAAGGTCTTGTTATGTAGCTCAGCCTGGCTTTAAACTAATGGTGATATGCCTACCTCAGCTTCCAGAGTGATGAGATTACAGGTATGAGCCATTATTTGTGGACTCCTTAATTAGTTTTGATAATCACTCGCATTTATAGAATGCACTGTGATTGTATTCGCCATTATTAGCTTCTCTTAACCCACCCAACTCTTGCTGGTGCCTCTGTCCCCAACTGTTCCCCTTAAAAGTATCTAGTAACATGTGATCATATAAACATCTTATTGATCTTCTTGTATTGCTTTCTTAAATATAAACAAGTTCACTTTACTTAACATGTACATTAAAATACAGCCATAAATGTAATAAGATACATCAGTGCTTAATTTGTATAAATAATTTATATAATCCAATTAATTGTATGTGGTTTGCGTCTGGCTCAAGTCTTTGGATAGCTGGAGAAATGGAGGAATTAAACACTTCTCTAATGTCGTGTGAGTTGCTTGTTTCAGAGCCTAAAACACAGAATTGTCATCATGAATGTCAAGCTTCATGGAGGGGAAACATTGGGGTGTGTGAGTTACAAGTATTCCACAGGCAGTTTTCTATTGTAGGAGTTGGAAGACTGTTGGCTTCTGTAAGTTATCAAAAGAGAATGCAATAATCATCTTTGTTAGATTGTATATTATTATTGTAACAAGAGCAGATAACTCCAGAAGAGCTGGATTACCCCTCACCTAAATTAGCCCAAGTGCTTTTACAAGTGAGTATCAACACACAATTTGAAATATAGCCTGACATTTCCCCTGTGAGCGCAACTGATTTAGAGTATGGGGGAAAAACCAATTCTTTGGTTTAGAGAAGGTGATGTGAGTGAAATAGAAATGAAATGATAACACAGTTTGTAGAAACTTCTATTAGGGACTGAATGGAAAAGTATTCACATGTAAATGAAACATTCTTCATGGAGATTCACCTTCCCATCAAGACTTGGGTTCATTTCAGGCTCAGCTTTACTATTGATCTTCATATACTTTATTTTCAGAAGTCTCAGGTTTTGGATTTGAGAGGGAAATAACAGCACTCAATACATAGGTTGAAGGGGTCAAATAGATAATGGTTGTGAATTTGGTTGGATATAATAAATACTTTTAGATGAAGCTATGAACATTGATAGGTTTTTCCACCCAACAAATCTGAAATGATTATATAGTTACCTTACTGGCTGGAATAATGTTTTTGACATTGTGGTAGAAGCCAAAATAAACCAAGTTGAAAATTCCATGACGTCCCAGAGTTGCCGTAAATCCTTTGTTGAGGCCCCGGAGCCCCAAGCCTTCCTTTTTAATGATTTGTCTTGCATAAGCAAAAGTAGACGGGTGCTGGGTGAAAGAGAAACCAAGCAAGAGACATCATTTTGGGACCCTGGAACACAGCACACTACTGCATCAATGTCCTTTCATGCCAGAACCATGAGGAACTATTTTCCCAAACAGGAAAAATACATGTTTATATCTGAGCTTTAAAAAATTATAACTCCCTTCTCCACCCCCCACAAACCTTCAGAACCTTATGCATAGCAGCGGGCTTTATAAAAAATTATTGGCAAAAGAAAAACATCTTTTGTGGAGTTAGTGAAACTAATGTCATGTAATAATTGCCATCACTTTCAACATGTAAATAATTGTATCCAGTTCTGGTTTACCCTCTCAAAAGGAGGGATTACCCATAAAGATACTTTAGTAATCCATAAGTTCATGTCATCCAAAAGGAATTTATACTTGGCTCCTCAGTCTAGAAGGTTTACTTCATAAATTATGCTTTTTTCCAAGCTAATGTTAAAACTAGTCTCAAATCCATTGCCTCAGTGATTTCAGCTCATGCTAGCTTAAAAATTGACCACGGATAAACAGCTGTTGATAATACAGCTCTGCACACAGGTGGACAATCCGTGTGTGTACCATTTGCTACAATACAATATTAATCAATTCACTCTTTTTCAACCCTCTAGTTATTACCAAGGCTGAAATACCTCGCCTGCTTGAATCTGATCTGTTGTTGCCTTTGGAGCTAATTAGTGCACTCTGGTTCTCTCTGAGGTTTACAGTTCCTTACAGTACAGTTGCAAAAGTTCATATAAGTTTTTAAGAGTACGAGTGATTGTCTCCTCTTTGGAGGCACTTCTCAAAAAGAGATTCCCACTTCTCTTTGCATTTAGTTCTTCCTCATGAGGCAAGCATGGAGGTGAAATCAGCTCAGGGTTCTCCTGGAGCACATTGCTGCAAAATGGCCACAGCAATAAGCCACACTTTCGTCTCTTACCTTTTATCATTTGCAATTAAAACCACATCAGTGGCTAAACAGAATGAAAGAAAACCAACTGAGGCCGTTCACCTAACTGATAATTTATGCTATGTGATTAGCATAATACATTTAAATGTGCTTATTTATATAGTAAATGCTATAGTTTGTGCTAATGAAGATTTTTTAAAAATTCCAACTAGTTACAATTATATTATTAGCTCCTTTTTCATTTATGAGGGTTAATTACAATAAGTCACCCTAAACAAGCCCTTCTTTGCAATGAGAAAATACCACAGGAGAATGTACCTTGAAGCAACAGAATACATTTCACAAGGAAACCCAGAAGATTCTCCTGAGGTTAGTCTATACTCTTATCTACAGTGGGCCTTTTTGTGTGTGCCTTGGTGTGTTGATAGACACCCAAATCATTTCAGTTCTCAAGAGCAATGAGAAGTTGTCTACAAGCTTATGCCTGGTAGTGCCGAGCAAGTTGCCTAAACAACCACTTCCTCAGCTTAGAAGGTGGCATGAGGGCAGGGAGGGACAGGACGAACAGAGCAGACATGAGGATTCCTGGGCCAGAGAGACCCCACTGATGCGAGTGTGCCTGCTTCTTCTCCACCCTCCCTCATCTAACTCTCCAGGGGCAGGAGGGAACTTTCACTTTTTCATTAATTTTTATTCTTTTATTTTATGCATCTATAGATGTTTTGTTTGCATGTAGGTCTCTGTAGTGTGTGTGTGTGTGTGTGTGTGTGTGTGTGTGTGTGTGTGTGTGTGTGT